CAAATGTTCATAACTTTTGATTTTGTGAAATCTGCCTTCTCACAAGAAAAACAAATATAAAAGAATAATCATTACAGTATTGTTTTTAATAATGAAAACTGAGGGAAAAAATTAAAATGTCCATCATTAAGAATTTGATTAAGTAGATTGTGTTATATCCACACAACTAATACTGTGTAAGCATTAAAAAGAATGAAATAGGTCTACATAGCTAACATGAAAAAAAGTCCATGATTTATTTTTACATGAGAAAAACAAATAGCAAGGTAGTTAGAAAAAGAGAAAAGTAAAATTATTACTTTTAGCTTATAAAGAGAGGCCTTGCCTACCTCTCGCTAAACATACAGCCAAATCCTTCTTTTGCTACAAGGAAGCAGATATTTCATTACAGATATGAGGAAGCCAGCTTCTGCAAGTTGCTGAAATAACTCAGTTGGGAGAGTGTTAGACTGAAGATCTAAAGGTCCCTGGTTCAATTCTGGGTTTTGGCAGTGGTTTTAGGCGTCACCATCAACGGATGTTCCACGAGTACCCTCTGTTTGCATCCTTGTCTCCCTCTAGTGAGGGGGACCTCATTTGCCCTTGGATGGACAGGAAGCCCTGGTCCCTATGCCTTTGCTTTTAAGCTGGTCAATATAAAGTCAGTGTCCCTTCCCTGCCCTTATGTCCGTGAGGAACCAGCTCTCCCCAAGCACCATGAGCTCTTCGCTTTTCAAAAAAATTTTATTTTTAATTAGAGGATAATTGCGTTACAACAGTGTGTTCGCTTCTGCAGTCAGCCGTAGGCAGACATGCCCTTCCCTCTTGAAGCCCCTTCACCCCCACCCCACGCACCCCTCCAGGCGTCACAGCACGGATTTGAGCTCCCTGCCTCGCCAGCCAGTTCCCACTGGCTCTCTCTTTCACATGTGATAATGTATATTTTTCAACGTTACTCTTTTACTTCGTCCCTCCCTCTCCTCCCTCACCGTGTCCACTCGTCTGTTCCCTCTGTCTGCGTCTCCACGGCTACCCTGCAAATCGGTTCTTCAGTACCATCTTTGCAGGGTCCACACACACGCGTTAACATACATTTATTTTTTTCTCTTCCTGACTTACTTCACTCTGTATAATAAGCGCCAGGCTCTTCCACTTCATTCCCTTTCTAGTTCATCCCGCCTTCCTGGTTCGGACCAGGCGCCTCGAGCTGCGGGTTCCAATCTTCCCCGCGTGTTTGGGGGCCGGTGGCTCCCGCCTCTGCAGGGGGGTTTTGCAGGCAGGGAGCCGCCACGTGCGGGGTGGGGGGCTGCCTTCGGGGTTGGCCACAGCCCGCGCCGTCTCTCTGCCAAAGAGATCCTCAACTGCAGCTTAGTTTAACTACACAAGGACAGTTTTCGGTGATGGTGGCAGAGGCCGGGTGAAGTGGGGTGAGAAGTTGGAATTCCTTTTTGGTTTATGTCTACACTAAAGTGAAAGTGAAGTCCCTCAGTCGTGTCCAACTCTTTGTGACCCCATGGACTGTAGCCCACCAGGCTTCTCTATCCATGGAATTTTCTAGGCAAGAGAACTGGAATGGGTTGCCATTACTAGGGTTACCAAATCAAATACAGGGCACCCAATTGAATTTAAATTTCAGAGAAACAATGACTATTTTTAGTATAAGCATGTCCTAAAGATTGCACTGGACATAATAATTACATACTCATTATTTTCCTGAAATTCAAACATAACTATATTTTTATTGCTAATTGCAAACCTCTGTTGCCCATCACATACCCACACTGCTCTGAATTGGATGCGCCCTCCCACCCTCACTGCCACCCCCACCCCGAACGCCCGGCAAAGACACTCAGAAACTCTCATCAGGAGGAACTGAATTTCAGAAGAGACTGGTAGTTTCTTGTTCTTAACAACTAGCAGGTTTCAAAAGACATCAGCTGATTTGTTCTCATCACCACCAGACAAGACCTCAGGGGGGGATCACCAGGGAACACCCCAGGAATCAGCCATCTTACCTGGTTCTAGGTTTCTAGTGCTGCCCACATTGGTCTGGGATGGGGGCGTCAAGGAAAGGGAGATTTGAAATCTCTGGACTGAATCTTGAAAACAAACAGAAAACATCGAAAAATTTGTTGAGATAATGAGCCACTTCATTCAAGGCAGTGCAATGGCACACACAAGTAAAAGTGTTAGTCGCTTCAGTCATGTGCGACTCTTTGCAACCCTACGGACTGTTGCCCACCAGGCTCGTCTGTCCATGGGATTCTCCAGGCAAGAACACTGGGTAGCCATGCCCTCCTCCAGGGGATCTTCCTGACCCAGGGATTGAACGGGGGTCTCTTACTTCTCCTGCATTGGCTGGAGGTTCTCTGCCACTAAGGCACCTGGGAAGCCCCATGGACCACCCACTCTCAGGCAAGGCTCCGTTTTTTTGCCAGCTCCCAGGCTGGGACACAGAGAGAGAGGCAGAAGGCCTACACCTCACATTCTAAAAACTCAAGATGTGATGAAAGTCAGCATGGAGGACCTGTGATTTGCTCTCCCCTTTCTGTTAACCTGTGCCCAGAGAGCCGCTGAAGAGGAGCTTCATCCCCCAAATCTTTGTGCTTTTGGGTGGAAGGATGCATTTGTTAAAGGCCTCTGAAAAAATCAATGATGATCAAAAGAAAGGGAAAGAACGGTGGATAAATGTGAGGCAGACCAAACTTTGCATGATTTATGCCAGCATGTGTGACGGTGGATTTGATGTGTCAATATAGCTAGCTCTGGTACATAAATGCCGGGTGAGATGGTGCTGTGAAGGTATTCTTTAGATGTAATTAACATTTAAGTCAGTAGACTCTGAATAAAGCAGTGGATTACCCTCCATAAGGTGGGTATGCCTCATCCAATTATCTGAAGGTTTAAGAACAAAGATTGGGGTTTCCTAACGGAGAAAGAACTCTCCTCAAGACTAACACTGAAAACCTGCCTGAGCCTACCAATGGCTGCCCTGCTGAAGTTGGCTTAGAGACTGCAAAATCAACTCTTACCTGAATTTCCAGCTTGTTGGTCAACCCAGTAGATTTTAAACTTGCCAGCCCCCACAATGAAATAATAGTCTCTCAGTCCTGTGTGACTCTTTGTGACCCCATGGACTGTAACCTGCCAGGCTCCTCTGTCCATGGATTTTCCAGGCAAGAATACTGGAGTGGGTTGCCATTCCTTTCTCCAGGGGAAATTCTCAACCCAGGGATTGAATTTGGGTCTCCTGCATTGTAGGCAGATTCTTTACCATCTGAGCCACCAGGGAAGCCCCAATAAAATAATAAGTCTCAATCTATCCACCAGGATGGCAGGCTTTAAAGTGTCACACACAGGTAAGACGGAAGGGTGAGATAGTTATTATCGCTCCTGAGGAAAAAGTGCTCTGAACAACATCAACCACCTCAGGACCATGGGGGTCCTGAGGCATTATATTCCTAGGAAATGTTGGGCCTTTGCCTTAAAAAGGCAAACTCTTCCCAGTTTCTAGTCTGAAGAATCTCTTCCAAAAGTATTTAGATAGAAGCAAGAGGCCCAGGGAGGACAGGTGTCACTTGCCTGCATCACCAAGCTTGAAAGCCTGGCACACTTCTACTCGCCTTTCAAGGCACAGTTCTAATTCTCCCCACACCCCCGCTGGCAGGTCCTTCTCTCCTTGCCTTCTATGCATTACTCTGTGTTATCTGAGCACTTCCATCTTCCTGTATTAAAGCATTAATTACACAGCCCGAAAGGTCCCTAGACAGCATATTAGAAAGCAGAGACATTACTTTGCCAACAAAGGTCCCTCCAATCAAAGCTATGGTTTTTCCAGTACTCATGCATGGATGTGAGAGGTGAACTATAAAGAAAGCTGAGCACTGAAGAACTGATGCTTCTGAACTGTGGTGTTGGAGAAGATTCTTGAGACTCCCTTGGATTGCAAGGAGATCAAACCAGTCTATCCTAAAGGAAATCAGTCCTGAATACTCATTGGAAGGACTGATGCTGAAGCTGAAAGTCCAAAACTTTGGCCACCTGATGCGAAGAACTAACTCATTGGAAAAGATCTGATGCTGGGAAAGATTGAAGGTGGGAGGAGAAGGGGACAACAGAGGATGAGATGGTTGGATGGCATCATCTACTCGATGGACATGAGTTTGGGTGAACTCCGGGAGCTGGTGATGGACAGGGAGGCCTGGTGTGCTGCAGTCCATGCGGTCGCAGAGAGTCAGACACAACTGAGCGACTGAACTGAACTGAACTGAAAGGTCTGCTCCCAGCTCTATAGTGGAGCCACAGCGCAGGGCAGGGAGCACCAAGCATTCGGGTCACCCAGCGCCTCCCCAGGGCGCGGCGTGACGAGGCCCACAGGACCGAAAGGGCATGAAGGGGTCTGTGGCGCCGAAACAGGGCGTGTTCGGAGGGACGCGGGGTCGCTCCATGGCTTCGGGCTGGAGCCCAGAGCGTCGCCCTCAGCTAATCCGTCTCGTGGGCCCAGGACGGGGACGGGAAAGTGCCGCGTGGCCCTTCTCGGACGAGCAAGCGGCCGCACCCCGCCTCGCGTGCTGAACGAGGCCGCGGACCCCGCGCGCTCCGGGGTGAGGGCGCCGCGCGGGGTGGGTCCCTGAGGGCTGGCTTCTCCCGCCTCAGGGTTGTGCAGGTCTCAGGAGGCACGTTTGCCAGGGGATCTCTACAGAAAGGCGCACCTCTTCTATTTCACTGGAGAAACCTGCCTTCGGCTGCCAGAGAGCCACCAATTCCCCTTCCTTCCGTCTTCTCCACTAGGCCCGCGCCCCGCTGCGGGGCCTGCTGACTGGAATTGGAACGCTCGCAGGAGGAAGCGGGAAACGCCCGGAACGTCTCCCCCACAATCCTCAGCGCCAGCCTAGATACGGCTTTCATTGACCAGAATGCAGCTTTTCAGCCGTGAGCCCGGATAGCTCAGTCGGTAGAGCATCAGACTTTTAATCTGAGGGTCCAGGGTTCAAGTCCCTGTTCGGGCGCAGAGTCTACTTTTAAAACAACCGGGATTTTTGAAAGTGAGAACCAGTTGTAGGAGGCTCCATTTGTTCGCCTCTTTCCTTTAGAAAAGGGAGTGAAATGTGGCGCGTGTACGCTGCGAATCCAGTCGCTTTCGGGGGAACAGCTCGGTAGACCCCGCGCACCCTGGTTGCAGAGGCGCCGCGAGATGCGCGGTGCGTCGCGGACGCTCTGAAGCAGCTGGTTTCCGGGCAACCGCCGGCGGGCGGCGCGGCCTCGGCTGCTGAGGTGGACGGCGCCTCGGGAAGGCCGGGGCTCCCGCAGTGGCCGCCGCCCTCCGGTCTCACCCAGAGCTCTGTAGCGGGGCAGCCCTGCTTCGGTTGTGGATGCTTTGAGGGCAGAGTAGTGACTTCAGTTAAAAGATCCCGTGTTCTGCCACCCTGGCGGCGCGGGCGGCGCCCGAAGGGACCCGCGTCAATCACGCGCTGCGCACCCGGCGGGCACCTAGGGGGCGCCTCTCCGTCCTCTCGTTGGCGTCCTGGGCAGAGACCGGGAAAGCCTCAGGCGGCGAGAAAAGGCGGCCTGGGACTCGGCAGAACGTGAATGTTCCTCAGGCGACATGAATGCGGTTTCTTTCTCACTGCCCTGGAAAGCTCCGAGCTAAAAGCGGCGCACTTTGGCAGGTGACGTTGGCAACTGAAAAAGCAGAGATGAGAGTCGAATCTTTTTAAAATTTTTCTTTAAAATTTTCCTCAACATGGTTGAAGGTCCAGCCAGCCTCGCCGAAATAGCTCAGTTGGGAGAGCGTTAGACTGAAGATCTAAAGGTCCCTGGTTCAATCCCGGGTTTCGGCAGGGCCTTTGCCGACCCGTCTTTGAGTGGGTCTGGAGTCCTTTTCTTAACTTAGTGACTTCCCAAAGGCAAACCGCCACACACGTTGAAGATGCGAAGAGCTTAAGTCTTCAAAATAAACCACAGATCATGGAATGGCCTGGACCCAGTCGCACAGTCACTCCACTTAAACACTGTTGCATGCTGGGTCACAGCATGTGGCCTGACTCTCATTTATAATGTGGTCAGCTCAGGTCTACAGGTGGAAGGTCTTGGGTTTGATGCCAAATATAATCGCGTTGGGCTTGCAAGTTTTCCTTATCGGAAGCAGACATGAAGACAGTGTTCAAAAATGTGTCTCTATAGCAGGACTGGCAAATCAGGGTCCCACCAATGCGTTAAAAGAATGGTCGGGATGGTTCCTGGCTGGAGAGGTGATTTATAAGCACGTGTCACTACCTAAAATATTTTTTGCAACCTCAGTTTTCTCACCTCTCTTCTCATCAACCGTGCATGAAGTGTTACTGCTCAGCGCGAATGTTTGCATATTTCCCGGCAGGAGCATTGCCATCGTGACTCTGACGACACGGATGCAAATGTCTCGGTTATGTGTTTATTGATGTTTTGAATATAAACTAATACTACATATTAGTTTTAAGGTAAAAATATCCAAAGACCAAGTATCTATCATACAAACGCTGTAAAAGACTGAGGTTGGGAGAGAAAGTTATCGGGCACTTTCCTCCCCTTTCACTTTTTCTGCAAAACCCACCCCAGTCTCGCCTGCCTGCTGGGTTGTAAACTCCGTACAGAATCAAGCGTGTTGTTGCACAACCTCACCTCAGAGAGTGGTGTGGACACATTCCAATTTGTTTCACGATTTTAAAATAACTGCCGCCCGAACAGGGACTTGAACCCTGGACCCTCAGATTAAAAGTCTGATGCTCTACCGACTGAGCTATCCGGGCTCTCAAAAATACTTCTTTTCTTAGTCTATCCACAGAAAATAGACCGCGTTGCCGTTCCTATTGGATTAAAATTCGGAGTCTTTTTGTTGATTTAGTGAGTGGTGAAACTGCAAAGTCAAGTTCCAGCAGGCGCTTGGTGGAAGTCTTTTCTGATCTCATCACAGACTATGAAGAAAATAGTAGTAAGTGCCTGCCAACCCCTGCTCCGACCAAAGCAGGACTCTCACCCTTTGCATCCTAAAGGGAACATCCCAGGAGGAATTCTCCTGATTTAGGATCTGTGGGCGTGTCTCCTGGTGAGCTGGGGATTTCTAAACCCAGTCTTGGTCTGTGAAGAGCCCCAGAGCATCTTGTGGGTGGAACCTTATGAATAATTGATTAGGCTTCCTGTCTTTATTCATCAGAACCTATCCAGCACCAAGATCCGGTGCGCGTCCACAGTGAGGCGGGCAGACACACGAAATAGATGTCAAGCGCTTGGGTGGTGGGAAGCCGGTCAACACCAGAAGTTAAGGATCCTAATTAGTCTTCCAGTGGGTGATGATGCCCAGCTGAGCTGCCAATGGTAACTGGGGGCCTGAAGGCTCAGGAAGGGAATTCTGAGCAGAGGGAAAAGACCTCCGCTAGTGAATCTGAACATTTTCCTCTAAGCTCTCATTGAAAAGTTCTGATCAGGTTGAATTTTATATTTTTAGGAAGTCCTATTACCCTGGAGGCAACCCGTGTTGGCTGTCATGCCTGTCATGACATGTTGCAGCCATCAAGCCATCAGCCACTGCAGCTTCCTTGTTGGTGCGCTCGCTCTAAGGGGAATTCACAATGGAGAAAAAACAGGATATTGGCCATAGATAGTTAAGATGCATGTCAAAGGAATAATTTCAATGAGCCCAAATCCTTGCATCATCCCATACTTAGAAAAGCACTAAAATAATTAACTTGAGGTGTCTGTTTTTCTGTGTTTAGCAGCAGTCTTTTGATGTTCAATTACATGTTTGTTTGTTTGTTTTTCCCCTCCAGGAAAAACTCCTATATATCCTGGGTCCTTACTTTCTTTGGAATAGTTCCTCAGAGCTATCTGAGAGTGCTTCTCTGGCTATAGTCTTTAGTAAGGTCCTTGAATAAAACGTAGCTCTTAAGTTGTAGGTTCTCTGTGTGTGTGTGTTTCAATTGTCACTAGTAGGCCCACCCCCTTTTATTTTCTTACTCCTGCTCCTTCATTGCCATGTTATTCATTAAGGTGTTGGATAAGATCCCTTGAAAGAGAAAGGAAGGGAAGGGAATCCTATGGGAGTAGAGCCTCATAAAGCTTTTAGCTGTCCCTGGAATTCAGACACTTCCTCTGTCCGGGAAGAATAACTGCAGTTCTTTTATGGAGAAATGTATCAGTGTAACCAAGCAGGATCCTAGGGGGCCTTCCTGGGATACACCCCTCCCTCCTCACTACAAGCTCTACCTGTCTCTTGTTTGTAAAAGGTTTAGTCTCCCAGGCCTCCCAAAGGCTAGCTCTAGAGGTAAGGATTGGAAAAATGTAAAGATATAGTAACAAAAGCTAGCAGCTGGGCCAGCAGTTTTTATTCAGTCACTAAGTTGTGTCCAACTCTTTGCAACCCCATGGACTGCAGCACACTAGGCTGCCCTGTCCTTCACTATGTTCCAGAGTTTGCGCAAATTCATGCCCACTGAGTGGTGATGCTATCTGACCATCTCATCCTCTGCCGCCCACTTCCTGGGCCAGGAGAACTGGTAACAATGGAAACAGATCAGCCATGTAAGTCACAGAATCTTTAGTTCCTCCCTGAAGGACACAGATAGTATCTGATGCACATTCCTGAGGTGGTTTGCAGATGCTAAAACCACCACCAGAAGGAAAAAGCTAACTGCACAGTGAGCAGACTATAGCTTTGACGCTAGTGACTCCATCTTGAGCAGTACCGAATCTGTGGCTTGCATACTTCCAGAAACTCGCCTCAAGAAAGTGGAACCCAACTGACCCTGGAGTTGAAGATTAACTGTGATTAAAACAAGACAAGTCCAGCCAGACCACAGCATTACTCATTTTGAGATGATCGTCAGAGCTGGCTGTGCTGTTCTGCACACAAGCCCCACCTGCTCACCCCGGACACTTCCTGGTTTTTCCTGTGAAATCTTTTTCTCTCCAACTGAAAACTTGGAGATGGTTTGGGGGACACCAGCCTTCTATTTTCCTAGGTTGCTGGCTTCCTGAATAAAGCTTCTTTCTTTTCCCACCAGTTCTTGTGTCTCTTGAACATTGACTTTTGAGTGAGAGCAGCTGAACCTGAGTTCATTTCCAGCTCCTGCTGGTAACCTCAGGAACCATGAGCAAAGTTTAAAAAGTAATCCAGTATGGAAAGATATTCACGTTCCATTGGAAAAAAAATGACAGAAGGTGCTAAACAATATGTATGACATAATATGTGTCGAAGAGTCAAAGGATGTGTACAGGAATATACATCCTTTAAATGTATATATCTGTATATATATGTATTAAACATGTATACATGTATTAAATATGTATATTTATATATTTGTTTTTTGCATATACATGAGATGTTTAAGGATAGAAAACAATCTAATAAAAATGACCACTTTTTGAAGAACAGCTTTGAAGTGTGTGTTTCCTCTAAGTACATCTGTATTATTGGCTAAAAAAAAAAGCATGTGTTGTTTTAAATAATAAATGAAGAATAAAAAATGTATCAGATTATTCTATCCTTCAGAGATCACATAGTCAGTCCTTCAGATCAAAGCGTCCCTGATCCTGTGTTTTCTACAGACCCCAGCAGACAAAAGTGAAAAGCAAACTTCCCTCCCAGTAGGGGCTGGGTCTCCCTCTGAGCCTCAGGGTTTTGGAGGGGAGTTCCTGGTATCCAGGAGGACTTTCCCCCTGTATCCTTCTTAATTCTTCTGGATGGTCTAAGAATTAAATTGATGAGACATATTAGCAGGAGAAAATAAAAGTTGAATAACATGTATATATGGAAGGGACCCAGAAAAATCAGTAACTTGACAAAACGCCTGAAACCCTCACCACAAATATTTTCAGCTCAAGCCAAAAGAGGATGCTAGGGGTAGTGACTTGGGACCTCAAAGGGGGAGAAGGCAACTGACATGGGGATGGAAAAGCAAATGTTTGATAAACCAACGTTGGCTGGGCCATGTAGAGGCCATGGGCGGGACAGAGGGGACTTATAATGCAGAGCCTATGCTAGGTTTTTCCCTGTCTACAAACCTGTTAGTACTCTAGCTGTCTATGGTGGTGGTAGCTCTCTGCCTGAAACAGGTCCTCCATCCCCTGTCTTCAGGCAGTTAGGGAGAAGGTCAAAAGTCACACTTTCTTCCCGAGTCTTTTGGACTTGGACTGTTTTCAGCTTCAGACAATCTGCGTGCCAAAGACACATTTTGAGGTGGTGAATTTGCTCCCCTACACTGGTAGTGAAAAATCACCAGTGAAATTAGAAGCATCTTTCACAAGTGAAGGTGTGGATCTCTATGACTCATATGACATGGAGTTAACCAAGAAAAATAAAAGTGGTTCCCCACATCCCCACCACAGGAGTTCCCTGTCTGATGAAGTCAATCCTCTGAGGAGCTGGTGAGGTTTTGGCATAACCTCAGCTTCTAGCACAGCTCGGGCTTCAAAGCTGAGCATGGCTTTGAATACAACTCGGGGGAGCATGAAGATCTATTTGCTGTTCTCCTGAAGGCAGACTAGATGGACAGGCACCGAACACTGAGAACCGAAGTCTCAGAGGGCGAAACATCAAGTGTTGATGGTGTGAACTGGGTTGCTTAGCACAGAGAGAGTTAACTGGAGTTGTGTGCAATCTCATTTAACAAACTGTAGTGTTTTTTTTTTCCCCCTATGCACGATCCCTCCATCTCTTCATCCTCCATCCTGAAATGCCACTGTCTTCCCACTTTCTAAGTTCTTTGGTTTGGGAAGTTCCCTCCAGTCCTTAAAGTTAGGGATCTTGCCTGTCTTTGCCACAGAGATCCTGGCTTGATGCCTTCCAGAGGGGGTCCGGGCCTGAGGACTCTTGGGCCGTCGGTATTGCTGCGCCCACCACAGGTAGGCCCACCTTCAGCCCCCGTTGAATGGGTCTGTCTTTCCTCCTGGAATGTTTCTGCTGTGGTTCAGGAACTCTGCACATCTCCGAGGCCTAGGTGAGTGGCTGGCACCACGCAAGCTCTCAAACACTGTGGAATGAATGAATGAGTGCAGTGGCTGCGCGAGGGCCAGAGGTCAGGGAAGGCGTTCAGCGGAGGAGGGGCAGAACCGGTCCTTGGAAGCTTTCGTTTGCTGGAGCGAGGGGAGAGACCATGAACGTCAAGATGAGTGATTTCTACAGTCAAATGGAACAAGTTTGTTCTGAAAAAGTTCTGTGGCACTCTATCGTGCCAGCCCACTTAGTTGTGCATAGCGCTTACCACCATCTGGAATTCTATTTATTTGCTGGTTTATAAACCATCTCTCCCCTCTCTTACTCTACTCTGGAAGCTTGCTGGTAAGGACCTTGTATATTTGTTGCTGTTCATGTTATTTTCTGTTTATTTTTTTAATCTTCGTATTCCCACAACCTCGGCGTTTAGAGCGCTATTTGGCACATAGCATGAACTTAAATGGTGACTGTTTCAAAAAGCGAACGTTTTTACTGCACAATGCGCCTCCTCTCCTGCTCGCTGTACTTAGTATAGCTTCAGGCGGATGTGTACTTTTAAGCTTTCCAAACCGTAAATTCTGAAGTTATTGCTACACTTTCCAGGTCTGCTACAAACTCTCAGATTAAAACGTCATCGCGCCTCAGGCTGGAAAAGTAGGACCCGCTGTACCAGAAGTGGGGTTCGAACCCACGAGGATATAAATCCATTGGATCTTAAGTCCAACGCCTTAACCACTCGGCCATTCTGGTACCTGTCGAAAGGGGTCTTATTTTTACGCAAATTGAGGCATATTAAGCTACTGCTAAATTGTAAAAACAATAAGAAAATTATTAATTTTATTAAATTATTAAATTTAAAATTAAATTATTAATTTTATTGTTAATTTTTAATAAATTAAAAATGTTATTCCTGCTGTAAAAGAACAGCAAGGGAATGGGAGTGGGGGGCGGGGGGACGCTCAGCAGCTTTCACCACGACCCGCTAACTTCCGCAGGTCGAGTGGCAGATACTCTGGAGCCACATTAAAGCGATGGTGGAAGACTCAGGTAGCAGGACTCCCAGTGGACTCAGGCCTGAGGCCATCACAGCGAAGTGGGACGGGACCCTTCCCAATGTGGGCGAAGGTCGCTGGACGCGGTAGGTGATGTGTTTGTCTCCTTCCGAGCTCTTTCCTCGTTTATCAAAAGAAAAGCGACTCTGGTGGGACTCGAACCCACAACCTTTGAATGTCTCCGTCTGTCTAGAAGTCCAATGCGCTATCCATTGCGCCACAGAGCCCGGTGCTCGGACCCCCTCCGCGCAAGTGACATCAAGGCGGAGCGGCGGCGTGTGGGGGCAGCCGCGGGCGCGTCCAGACCCGCTTTCTGTCCCGGACAAGTGGGGGAGCTCGTGTCGCCGAGGACAAGTGTGGATGGGACTTGCGCTGGGAGGTCTGAGGGCCATCTGAACGCTTCCCTGCGCGGGCGTCACCGGCCTCCACCCTCCGTCTCGCTGACTGCGCGCAGGGAAAAGTCTCTGTGCGAGCTTTCTGTATCTCATCCTGGCGGAGGTCTGCAGCGCGCGGTTCCATAGTGTAGCGGTTATCACGTCTGCTTTACACGCAGAAGGTCCTGGGTTCGAGCCCCAGTGGAACCACGAGGCGGGGGTCGCTCTCTTTTAGAGGCATTTTAAGTTGAGATTTCTTGGTGCCAGCCGCAACTTGAGTTTTAACCCGGGAAATGGCTGAGTGCGACTCCCAACGGGGCTCGACGCCGCGCCCCAAGCGCAGGCTCGCGCCGGGGTGCCCGCGCAGACGGCAGCCGAGACTGCCCCTTCTTGGCGTTTCTAGGAGCGTGCGGGCGACCCCGCCCGCCTCAGGGCGGCGCGCGCCGCTGCGCCTGCGCGCTCGCGCCTGCCGGAGGGTTGACCTCCGGGTTCCTGAGCGGGCGGCGGGCGGCGCGCGCCGCTGCGCCTGCGCGCTCGCGCCTGCCGGAGGGTTGACTTCCGGGTTCCTGAGCGGGCGGCGGGCGGCGCGCGCCGCTGCGCCTGCGCGCTCGTGCCCGCCGGTGGGTCTGTTTCCGGGTCCCTGAGGGAGTCCGCGGGCGGCGGAGGAGTGCGGCCCGGCGTCTTCCGCCCTGCCCCGTCCACACCTGCTTGGCCGCGAAGGACATCCCTACGGCCCCCTCCCTTGTTTGTTCATTACTTCACGTCCGCTGACCTGCCGCTTCATTTATTTATGTTTACAGTACTTTTTGAAACATTGTGTGCTGATGGTCGTGGACTTGGGCAAACCCTGGGAGACAGTGAGGGACAGGGAAGCCCGGCGAGCTGCAGCCCTTGGGGTCGCAAAGAGTCGGAGACTGAGCATTGAGCCGTAACACGCTGGTGCTGGAGAATCCAAACCAGCCCTTCTGTTTTGACAGTGTTGTTTCCCCCTGGCTAAGAATTTCTCTTTGACCAAATTGTAGCCGGCCCCTCTGAGCCCTTCTCTTAAATAGCCGGTTTATACGGCTTGAAGAGACCGTAGCACTAATATTGCTCTTAGTGAGCTGTGGTTTTGGAGAAGACTCTTGCGACTCCCTTGGACAGCAAGGAGATCCAACCAGTCAATCCTAAGGAAAATCAGTCCTAAATATTCATTGGAAGGACTGATGCTGAAGCTGAAACTCCAGTACTTTGGCCACCTGATGTGAAGAACCGACTCATTGGAAAAGATCCTGATGCTGAGAAAGATTGAAGGCGGGAGGAGAATGGGACGACAGAAGATGAGATGGTTGGATGGCATCACCGACGTGATGGACATGAGTTTGAGTAAAGTACGGGAGTTGGTGATGGACAGGGAGGCCTGGCGTGCTGCAGTCTATGGCGTCGCGAAGAGTCAGACATGACTGAACTGTCTGAATTCAAAGCTGCATCCCTAAAATGACCGACTTTCAGTTACAGAGTCTGCCTTAGAAAGCTGAATGCTGCCGCCCCGTTCTGCCTTTACTGTTTGTTCCAGACAGGAGCTGAATCTGCTCTCATCACCTGTGTCTCTTGCATCAGGCGGGTTTTTTTTTGTTTTTTGTTTTTTTTTACCACTAGCACCGCCTGGGAAGACCCTCTTCATAAAAGACTTAGGGTTAGATTATTGTACAAAAGGTAGCATGCCATAAGGACCGCTCCCCCGCCCCAGCAATATCCTAGAAGTCTTTCTATTTCCTTCTTAAGCCTTCACTTATTCTTTCACTTCATGGTTTGGGTATAGCCCAATTCTTTAATCTGTGCCTTTTAACGAGAAATTACATTGTATTCAGTCTTACAGACCATGCTCTAGTGGGATTCCTTATTTGTAGATTTTGGAGTGGATCAGTCTGTAGAGTAATAATAGCAGAAATCTTGAATGGTCACTATTATCTAACCTATTTTACAAATGAGGAAGAGAAAGAGCAGAGAAGTTAAGTGATAGCCCAAGTCACACACTGCCCTAGACAGTTAAGGTGCACATCAAAGCAATGATTCCATTAAGCCCAACTCTTGCATCTTCCCATACATTAAAAAAAAGTGCAAAATTCATTAACTTGTGATGTCTCTTTAATTAGCAGTAATCTTTTGATGTTTGACTTTTTGTTTTTCTTTTCAAAAAACTATACATCCTGGTCCTCTCTTTCCTCTTCAGAACAACCCCTCAGAGCTACGTGAGAGCCTGGACCCAGGTTTAAGTCCTCAGTAAGTCCACCGAATAAAACATAATTCTTGATTCCTAGGTTGTGTACCCCGCCCCCGCCTTCTACATGGGTTTTCAGGCCTCATTTCTGGAAATAAAAATCTCAGTTAACAACTCTAGGTTTGCCAAGGGGAGAATTATGGAAAAGGATGTCGCCCTCTAGTGGTGAGAAGACATTATAAAACATTTTGCTCTGTAGAGTCGGCTCCTATTGAAGAGGTTCTTTAGAAATATAGCTCCTCACCCACTTCAAAAAACAGAAAGAAATACAGCTTCCCAGGGTGGGAGATGTTGAACAGTTTAGTCAAAATACAAATACCCTGTGTTAGGACTCATATGTTAAAAGATTGTTGTCAAGCAACATGTTTTTATCACACTGAAGGAGAAGAACATTTTCATGAAAAGTATATATATGTGGATATATATATATATATATATATATTCTTTTTTTTTTAAGCACAAACTTATTTACTTATTTAAAAGAACTTGGCTGCACAGAAAGCTGGGGGTCTTAGTTCCACAGCCAGGGACCGAACCTGCACCCCTGACAGTGAAAGCACAGAATCTTAACTGCTGAACTGCCAGGGAATTCCCTTGGGGAAACAGATTTTAATGTATACTATGTCTCCAAAGCACCATAGTCTTTTAGGAACCCAGTAATCGATTAATTGGGCTTCTCTGGTGGCTCAGATGGTGAAGAATCTGCTTGCAATGCGGGAGGCCTGGGCTCAATCCTTGGGTAGCGAAGATTCATGGTAGAACAGAACAGCTATCCACTCCAGTGTTCTTGCCTGGAGAATTCCATGGACAGGAACCTGGCGGGCTACAGCCCATGGGGTCGAAAAGAGTTGGAAATGACTGAGAGGCTAATACTTTCACTTTCTTTAAAATCAGTTGTTTCTTAAAAGTAAATGTGTGGGTATTTGTGTGTGTATGAATTTGTGTGTGTGTGTGTGTGTGTGTGTGTGTATTTGGAATCCTCAATTCACTGTTTGCCTCTAGAAAGTAAAGATTAAACACTGAGAAAAGGTATGAGGAAGGGAATTTTTTTTTTTTGGTATAAAAATTGATTTACAAGGAACCAAATAGCTATTAGTGATAAAGGAACATACTTATTAAGGGAGACTATGATTCTGTGTTCTTTGGTTCAAGAAAAAATTTGAATTGTTCTTGACTTTCTGTTGTTGTTTTTCTTGATGTTTTTTTCCTGTGGGTAGCTAGGTACAAAATTCAAAGCTATAGTCAGAAATCTGGTGAATGATTTTAATTATAGTCAGGAAGTAACAGTAACCCCAAAGAAGCAAATGTAGATTTTTTTTTGAAATGTAGTTTTAAAAGCCCAGGATCAGATATGAGTGTATGTGAATTTTGTCAATAGCTCCTGTCTTGTGTCACCCCATCACCTTGCTGAAGTATTTCACTTGTCTGTACCTGGGTCTCTCAGGTTACCTCTGACACCTGGGCTTGGACTTATCTCCCGCATATGCAACCATTGCAGTTGTCCTGTCCTGTATCTCTTCCACTCTGAGATGACACCTGGGGCCATTGATTGGGCCGGTAGACCACCTGAAATTAATCACTAGTGAGACACTACTGAGAATGGGCTTGCAGATGCCCTTTCTGCACCATAACCACCAGAAGATGGCCATGGCCTTCCAGAGATGTATCTAACTTTTGTAGTGATGGTGAAACAGGGGGGAACTGGTTCCAAATCAGGAAAGGAGCACGTCAAGGCTATATACTGTCACCCTGCTTATTTAACTTGTATCCAGACTACATCATGTGAAATGCTGGGCTGGATGAAGCACAAGCTGGAACCAAGATTGCCAGGAGAAATATAAATAACCTCAGATATGCCAATGACACCACCCTTATGGCAGAAAGTGAAGAACTAAAGAGCCTCTTGATGAAGGTGAAAGAGGAGAGTGAAAAAGTTGGCTTAACACTCAACATTCAGAAAACTAAGATCATGGCATCTGGTACCAACATTTCATGGCAAATAAATGGGTAAACAATGGAAACAGTGACAGACTATTTTTGGGGGCTCCAAAATCACTGGAGATGGTGACTGCAGCCATGAAATTAAAAGACACTTGCTCCTTGGAAGAAAAACTATGACCAATCTAGACAGCATATTGAAAAGTAGAGACATGACTTTGTGGACCAAGGTCCATCTGGTCAGTGCATGCATGCTAAGTCCCTTCAGTTGTGTCCTACTCGGTGTGAGCCCATAGACGGCAGCCCACCAGGTTCCTCTGTCCCTGGGATTCTCATACTGGAGGGGGTTGCCCTTTCCTTCTCCACCATCTAGTCAAAACTACGGTTTTTCCTGTAGTCATGTATGGATTGTAATACACTAGCATCTAAATGACATACCCACAGGCACCATGACAATTCTCCTAGAGGAGGAAATGGCAACCCACTCCAGTATTCTTGCTGGGATAATCCCAAGGACAGGGGAGCCTGGTGGGCTACAGTCTGACTGGTTGCAAACAGTCAGACACAACTGAGCACCATGATCAGCACCATTGGTCTTTGATGGTTGGCCTTGGAATTGTCATGGTGACTGTGGGTATGGCATTTAGGTGCTAGTGTATTACAAGGAGAGTATAATGAGGCTCAAGGTCCACTGGAAGTCAAATCTTCTGCCATCTTAGACCCAGTCGGTTCTAACCAGTTTGTCATATCCTCAAGGGCTATGTCATTCATTTAAAGGTTGTGGCCTGCCTGCTTCCCTCCTCCAGGCTATATTCCTGACTCAGGGGTTGAACCTCCATCTCCTGCAGCTTCTACCTTGACAGGCAGATTCTTTACCATTGTGCCACATGGGAAGCGCAACACTACAATAGAGGATAAATAGATGAGCTTGTTTCAGATGCCATCAAATCCTGCCTGAGGCAACAGGAATAGTCAGACATGCATTGAGCTGAGGTCAGGTATCTCAGATCTAGCCTTGTCTCAGCTATTTATCAATGACAAAAACTTTGATAAAATATGAACCATCTCAGCTTCTGTAAGGGAAACCCAGAGGTTTCCTTAGAAAAACAGAACTGATACCCTCAAAATGGGCAATGGAAATTTTCCACAAAGGGAGGAGTGGCTGGATTTTATACAATCAGGACTCTGGTTCCTGAACATCATTTTACTAACTGTTGCTTGGGCTGCAGAAGGTACAGCCACAACTCAAGAATTAAGAGGTAATTTTCTTTCAGATTTCATTTTCTCACCTATGAAATGAGGTGTTTGAGTGATATAAACTTTGGAGTTCCTTTAAGATTACAGCATCAAGTCCCATCACTTCATGGCAAATAGGGGAAAAAGTGGAAGTAGGGACAGATTTTATTTATTTGGGCTCCAAAATCACTGCAGACAGTGACTGCAGCCATGATATTAAAAAATACTTGCTTCTTGGAAAAAAAGCTATGACAAACCTAAGCAGCACATTAAAGACCAGAGATATTGCTTTGCTGACAAAGGTCCATATGGTCAAAGCCTTGGTTTTCCCAGTAGTCATGTAAGGATGTGAGAGTTGGACTATAAAGAAGGCTGAGCACCAAAGAATTGATGCTTTTGAACTGTGGTGTTGGAGAAGACTCATCTTGAGAGTCCCTTGGACTGCAAGGAGATCCAACCAGTCCATCCTAAAGGAGATCAGTCCTGTGTGTTCATTGGAAGGACTGATGTTGAAGCTGAAACTCCAATACTTTGGCCACCTGATATGGAGAGCTGACTCATTGGAAAAGACCCTGATGCTGGGAAAGATTGAAGGCAAAAGGAGAAGTAGTGACAGAGGAAGAGGTGGTTTTATAACATCACTGACTCAATCGACATGAATTTGAGTAAACACTGGGAGATGGTGAAGCACAGGGGAGCCTGGTGTGCTGAAGATCATGGGGTCTGACAGAGAGTCGGACACGACTTAGCAACTGAACAACAGCAACATCATGAGCTAATGGCTTTTGGATCTGAGACTTAAGTTGCAGACAATCTCGCCATGACAAATCCTTATTGAGACAATTATTTCAGACCATCTTTATTAGAAGATTCTGCCATAGGGTAAAGATGGCCTCATCTGGCCTCATGATGGTCTATTGATA